CCTAACCCTGCTGCCCTCCCCCTCGGGGGGCACTTCCCTGCGGCCCCCACCCCCCACCCCGGCCAAGTCAGGCGCCATGAACGACCAGTACCACCGGGCGGCTCGGGATGGCTACCTGGAGCTCCTCAAGGAGGCCACCCGGAGGGAGCTCAACGCCCCTGACGAGGACGGCATGACCCCCACCCTCTGGGCGGCGTACCACGGCAACCTGGAGTCGCTGCGCCTCATCGTGAGCCGCGGGTGAGCTCTCCGCGGCCGCCCCGGCAGGGCAGGGCGGTGGGGGACCCCGGGACCCCGTGGCAGGTTCACGCCTTCCTCTGAGCTGGCCCCTTCCCCGGCCCACCAGGCCTGGCAGGCCCGGAGGGAGGCACACGTGGAGGTGAACGCCGCGGGAGGATGTGCCCGGGGTGTGGGGCTGGGAGGAGAGGAACTGGGATTGGGGAGTCCATGATTGTGGGAGACCAAGGTGGGAGGGGTTGCCTGGGATTCTTGGGAGCAACAGTGAGGGGAAAGGTGGGGGCCAGAGAGATGGCTGGAAAACCTCAGAGCCCCAAAGTGAGCACTAGGAAGGAAGGGGTGGGGGCCCTGGCTGCCCACTCCCCAGCGGGGGAACCGGAAGTCAGCCCAGCCAGCACCCACTGCTCCCCGCAGGCTGAGTCTCACTACCCCCTTCCCTCCCTCCCTCCCTCCTTCCTTTCTTCCCTCCCTCCCTCCTTTCTTTCTTTCTTTCCTTTCTTTTTTCCAGTCCTGGGACTTGAACTCAGGGCCTGGGCACTGAGCTTCTCTGTGCTCAAGTCTAGCTCTCTACAACTTGAGCCACTGCACCACTGAGGGCTTTGTTTTTCAGTGTATGTGGCATTGAGGAATAGGACCCAGGGTTTCATGCATTGCTAGGCAAGCACTCTACCACTAAGCCACATGCCCAGCCCATCCTCCTTTCTAATACACAGGATTTATGGGCACTGTCCCCAGTACTAAATGTCATTGCTTCAGCCACCTCATTAACTCTCCCTGTAGCTCTCCACCCCCAGCAGGACACAGCTTTGCACTGGGAGACGGTGATGTCCCTCGGGCCTTCTGTCCCCCCTCCTCTCCCTGAAGTCATCTTGCTGGAAGGTCAGGCCCAGAGTCCAGCTAACCCTTGAGACAGGGGAGGAGTTTGGAGGTAGCAGTTGAGGCACGCAAGTCCAGGGCCAGGGAAGATGAGGAGGGACTAAGTCACGGTATTGGGAACACACCAGTTTAAAGGAGAGTCTGCCCTGGCCACCCGTGTTAGCCTGGATAGGAAACGTTGTGGAAGAGATGCTTTAGGAGGGTTCATAGAAATACCTCTGGTCCCAGGGCAAAAGGGGCAGCACTGAGCTTGCACTCATGTTGGGCACAGGCCTGCGGCCTGAGTTTATGGGGTGAAAGACAGACTCCCCCTGATCCTAGCTGTTCCTTGAGCAGCCTTTTGTTCCAGGAAGGCCCACTGGGCTGTTTGCCTACTCCTTGATCAGAAAGACTCATGGGAGCCTCATAAAGGGGTCTGGAGGGGAAGAGGGCACTCCCTGGGTGCCCCAAGTCCTGTGGGGATAAGGATGGGTGCTCAGTGGGTGTGGGTCTGTGTGGACACTGTCCTGAGAACTTGGCAAGTATAGGAGCAGCTGAGCAGGGTGGGGTGGGGGGAATGAGAGGAGACACGGAGACAAGGGAGTGATTCTTCCCGCAGCTTTGGAGTGGCCTCGCGATCTCATTAGTGTGGGACAAGGGCCCAGTGCTGGGTTCCCAAAGGCAGGCAAAGTTCAGGGGAAGCCAGCAGAGGCTGCCCAGGAGGGATAGAGCCTGGTATGGAGGGTGTTGGTTGTGATGGGGCAGTTGGCACTTCTCCAGCCAAGCTACCAGCCTCACATGGCTTCCAGAGACTCAGCAGCCAGATCAAGGTGGCTAGGTCGCCAACCCTCCTCCTCTTCCTCCTCCTCTTTAGTCCTGGCTGCCCCTGCAGTCCCCTCCTGGCCCAGGCCAAGGCCCGACACCTGCTCTAACACTGGCTTTGCCAGGCCTGGCCCTGCTCCCTGCAGACATGGCCGTGTCCACTGTCAGCAAGCACCGCCACCCCCACCCGCTCACCAGGCTCGCTCAAGCCCACCCCCTTGTCCCCTTTCACAGCCACCCTGGAACACGTGGCCACGCTCACCCCCTCACACACCTGCCTAGAGACCCACACTCGGCCCTGGCCCACCACCTCTCTGGGCCAGTTCCCCGCTGGGCCCATGAATAATTCACCTCTTTCTCTCTGAGCATCAAATATTTATCCCCTCAGATTCCCAGCCCTCAGTTCTCTTGGGGAAGGCCCTGCCTTCCGCTCGACCACGCCCCCTTGTGGGCGGGAAGTCCCCGGCCAGGCTCCGCCTTCCGCTCGACCACGCCCCCGTGTGGGCGGGGCCGCGCTTCCTTGGACTTCCTCTAGGCCTGTTAGTCCTTTCAGGTTGACGACAGCAGATCCCCTGGGAGTCTCGGAAGGGCGGTCTCAGTCCCATGGGGGGGGCCCATGGGATGCCTTGCCCGGGGAGGGGGGGGAAGCTCAGCGAGGCTGGGGGAGGGGAGCCCCGACAGCCCCGTCCCCAGCTAGCTCCCCACGTGTTGTCTTCCCACCCCCCACCCCCCGCAGGGGCGATCCGGACAAGTGTGACATCTGGGGCAACACACCGCTGCACCTGGCCGCTTCCAATGGCCACCTGCACTGCCTGTCCTTCCTGGTGTCCTTCGGGGCCAACATCTGGTGCCTGGACAACGACTACCACACGCCTCTGGACATGGCGGCCATGAAGGGCCACATGGAGTGCGTGCGCTACCTGGACTCCATCGCGGCCAAGCAGAGCAGCCTGAACCCCAAGCTGGTGGGCAAGCTGAAGGACAAGGCGTTCCGCGAGGCGGAGCGGCGCATGCGCGAGTGCGCCAAGCTGCAGCGCAAGCACCACGAGCGCATGGAGCGGCGCTACCGGCGCGAGCTGGCCGAGCGCTCGGCCGACGCGCTCAGCTTCTCCAGCCTCACGTCGGCGGGCACGCTGAGCCGCCGCCCGCACCACGGCCCGGCCCCGGCCAGCCAGCTGCCCTACTCGCAGGCCACGCTGCACGGCACCGCCAAGGGCAAGACCAAGATCCAGAAGAAGCTGGAGCGGCGCAAGCAGGGCGGCGGCGGCGGCGAGGGCACCTTCAAGGTCTCGGAGGACGGCCGCAAAAGCGTCCGCTCGCTGTCGGGGGTGCAGCTGGGCAGCGACGTGATGTTCGTGCGCCAGGCCCCCTACGCCAACCCCAAGGAGTGGGGCCGCGCCCCGCTCCGGGACATGTTCCTCTCGGATGAGGACAGCGTCTCCCGTGCCACGCTGGCGCCCGAGCCGGCCCACTCGGAGGTCAGCACCGACTCCGGCCACGACTCCCTGTTTACCCGCCCGGGTCTGGGCACCATGGTGTTCCGCAGGAACTACTTGAGCAGCGGGCTGCACGGGCTGGGCCGGGACGACGCGGGCCTGGAGGGCGCGGGCACGCCGCGGGGTCGGCTGCACAGCTCGCCCAGCCTAGACGACGACAGCCTGGGCAGTGCCAATAGCCTGCAGGAGCGCAGCTGCGGGGACGAGCTGCCCTGGGACGAGCTGGACCTGGGGCTGGACGAAGACCTGGAGCCCGAGACCAGCCCCCTCGAGACCTTCCTGGCGTCCCTGCACATGGAGGACTTCACCCCACTGCTGCGCCAGGAGAAGATCGACCTGGAGGCGCTGATGCTGTGCTCCGACCTGGACCTCCGCAGCATCAGCGTCCCCCTGGGCCCGCGGAAGAAGATGCTGGGGGCCGTGCGCCGGAGGCGGCAGGTGCTGGAGCGCCCGCCCGCCCTGGAGGACACGGAACTGTGAGTGGGTGGGCCTGGGTGGGGTGTGGGATGGTGTGGAGGGAGGAGCTGTGTGTGTGTGTGTGTGTGTGTGTGTGTGTGTGTCTGTCTGTCAGTCTTTGGGCTTCAGCTCAATGCCTGGACACGCTATCCCTATTCTTTTCATCTTTTCAAGGCGGGTGCTCTACCACCTGAGCCACACCTCCATTTCCAGCTTTTTGGTTGTTACTTGGCAATAAGAGTCTCATGGACTTTCCTGCCCCAGCTGGCCTTTGAAACCACACTCATCAGAGTAGCCGGGATTGCAGGCGTGAGCCACTGGCACATGGCAACACAATATTTTACAAAAGCTAAGCTGCCACTAATTAATTACAAGAAGCCCCACTCTTCAATTATCACAGACTCAGAAACAGAAGCTGCCAATTTAATGACTAGAAACTGTCCTTTTGGGGTGTGTGTGTGTGTGTGTGTGTGTGTGTTGGAACTCAGGGCCTCTTGCTTTTCTTCTTTCTTCCTTCCTTCCTTTCCTTCTTTCTTTCTTTCTTTCCTTCTTTCTTTTTTTCCCTTCAAGTCTGGCACTCCACTACTTGAGCCACGTTTCTACTTCTGGCTTTGTTTTTCCTTTGCTGGTTAGAGGTAAGAGCCTCACAGACTTTCCTGTTTGGCTTGGCTTTGAACTTTGATTCTCAGACCTCTGTCAAGTAGCTAGGCGTGAGCCACTGGTCCTGGCTACTGGAGACTGTCTTATCACAGCGCATGTGCAAGGCATCTTTATGCTGGAGATACCAACGTGTGCTGATGAGATTGCTGTAGTCATAGCAATCACAGCCAGGATGTTTTTAAGCCCTGCCACCTTTCAGGGCTGAGCCCTGAGCAAGGCTCCTGTGAGTCCTGCACTATACCATCCTGGGTGTAAGATGACCAGGTGGTGGCTCCCAGGTTAGGTAAGAGCTCACCTTGTGCCCTGTGGCTGCTCGGTGCAGAGCTGGTCTGTGTGGCTCTAGAGCTTGAGCACTATTCGAATTCCATGGGATGGAGGGTGTGGCACCCATAAGGTCTCCTTACCGTCTAAGCCCTTATGGCAGATGCTTTTACCTGCTGTTCCCCAACCCTGCAGCTAGGTCTGCGGGCACATGCTCCTAATCGGGCCAACAGCAGCTTCGGAGGCAGAGCTGCCCTCAAATAGCCTTCACCAGCCAGGTACCGTGGCTCCCGCCTGTCATCCTAGCTCCTCAGGAGGCTGAGATCTGAGGATCATGGTTCAAAACCATCTTGGGCAGAAAAGTCTGTAAGACTTACCTTCAATGAACCAGCAGAAAGCTAGAAATGGAGGGGTGGCTCAAGTGGTAGAGCACCAGCCTTGAGGAACACAGCCGAGGGACAGCCCTGAGTTCAAACCCTACTACTGGCACAGAACAAGCAACAACAAAACCACTACCGCTGTCAGACAGCTGTCATCTGAGGCTGGTTTCTGTCTTTCCTCTGCAGATAACAGGGGTTTTGCTCCCCAGACCAAAACGAATTGCAAGGTGCCACAACCCACCGAGGGGCCATGAGGTTCTCACAAGTCGCCAGCCCTGCAGCCCCTCCTTCCCCCGGGCGCCAGGACCGCGTAGGGCATCTCCCGTGCCAGCCTATCTGCATCCTGAAGCAGAGTGTATGGCCTGTGGCACCCACAGGGGCAACGAAGCATTCCGGACACCTGGACCTCCAGCATCCTGCAGCCCCTGAGCCATCTCCGTCTGGGAGCCCTGAAGTACCAGGCCAGCCCAGGGGACTAGACAACCTTGGAGCTGGATCAGGATGAGGTTAAGAGGGAGACACGACTTGTGGTAGGGGTATTGTCTCTCCTGCTTCTCCTCATCCCTCCTCAGAGGGTCCTGTTTTCTCTCTTAGGCTGGAGACTTGTTTGCTTCCTACTTTGTGTGAAGGGAAGAGTTTGGGCACCTTCCTCCTCCGTCTACCCTCCTGGGGGCGGTGAGTCTTTAGCCAGGCTCTTCAGCCAAATGCCCTGCCTTTCAGTTCCTACTGTGTCCCCCCCTCCCCACTCCCCACAACACCAGTTCCCTCTCCTGTCTCCACAGTGGGCTGGGGTGGTGGGCTGGCCCCCTTCCCAGCTCACCCCGGGGCAGAGCCCATCTTATCCTTCTCCAGCCTACCCAGGTCACTGGATGCAAGGTGCTAGAGCAGCAGGCTGCAGTATTAAGGTCTCTAGGCCTGGTGGGCACAGCTGGCTGGAGAATGGCATCTGCCAACTGCCTCACAGTCTCCCAGGTCCAGAGACTGGGCACAGCAAGGGACCAGGCCAAGTGTGGGGAAAGCTTGCCCAGGAGCCCGGGGCTCTGTGTGTGTGTGTGTGTGTGTGTGTGTGTGTGTGTGTGTGTGCGTGCGTGCGCGCGTGCGCATTGTGTTAGGGTGGTGGGTGGGTTTTACTCAAGCCCTGGCTCAGAGGGTCCTCAGAGCACTTCCCCAGGTCAAGGTCGGGAAAGGGGAGAGGCCGCTCAGCTGCATATTCGCAGCTCACCAGTCAGGCCATTTGTCCTTGTTAGCTGAGGCCCCATCCCTGACCTCAGCTCAGGAAGCAGCCGCTGTTGGCAGCAGAGCCCCAGCTCCAGCTCCAACCTGAGCCCCTTGACTGGGCAGACAGAAAGAGGCCCCAAAGACCTCTCCCATCCGTCTGTCTGGGGTCCCTGTCCACACACATGCCCAGAGCAGGGGTGTGAAGGAGATGGTCCCTTCCCCACGGAATGATCCTGGGAGGCTGGCTGCCTGCCATGATCGCCCCAAGCGCACCCCATCCCCTTTTCCACCTGTTCTCTGGCCTGGGCCTGGGAGCATCCCAAGTGCCGATTCGTGCTTCTCAGAGCCTCAGGTGCTGTCCTTTCCCATCTGTTCCCTGTTTGTTTACTGCCTCAGCCCCTGCTGGCCTCGTGCTGAGGTGGACTAGGCTCTGCTTCCCACCCCTGCACACAACCTTCCCCCCCCCACTCCCCACCCCCGGCTCATTATAACTTTTGTAGAGAATGTTCCATCTGCTGGTCGTGTGCGTCTCCTGTTCTTTTAGTCATCTGAGGGTGGGAGGGACGGGGTGGAGAGTGTGAAGGGTGGAGGGCTGAACCCCCCATAGCTTACACCTGTCTACAGGGATTACCTCCCACGTCCGTGGACCCTTGTCCTGCTATGCTAGCTGGCCCAGAATTAGGAGCTGGTGAAGAGAGATGGTTCTTTCAAGGACAGGATCAATCAGAAAAATCCTCAGGACACTGGGTATCACTTGTAATCCCAGCTACTCAGGAGGCTGAGATCTGAGGATCACAGTTTTAAGCCAGCACCGGCAGGAAAGTCTGTAAGACTCTTATCTCCAATTCGATAACAAAAAGCCAAAAGCGGAACTGTAACTCAAATGATAGAGCACTAGCCTTAAGCAAAAATGCTCAGAGACAGTGCGAAAGCCCTGAGTTCAAGTCCTAGGACTGATGTGTGTGCATACGCACGCATGCACACACACACACAGGATGTCAGTGTCAAAGTTTGCATAGCAACCATCTAGACATTCTGGGCAACCTGCCTCTGCTTTGTAGCCCTGAAAAGCTGAGGCCTGTAAAGGCAAAGGGCTAGACTCAGAACACAGGTCTCCAGACTGCTGTAGCTCTGTTCTTTCCACCAAGGCCACCAGTGAGGCTGAGTTACCATGGTGCCCACCCAAGCCCTGTGAGTGCATACGACCCCTACTGGCCAGCCTGGTTACTGCAGTCACCCACTATAAAGAGTTGCCGGTGTTTTCAACAAGCAAAGGGAGGTGTCCTAACTCGAGTCAACCTTTTCTTTTTTCTTTTTCTTTTTGCTTTCTGTCAATTCTGGGGCTTGAACTCAGGGCCTTGTGCTCTCACTTGGCTTTTTCACTCAAGACTGGCCTTGCACCACTTGAGCCACAGCTCTGCTTCTGGCCTTTCGTTGGTTAATTGGGGATAAAGAATATTACAGGGCTGGGGAGGTGGCTCAGTGGTAGAGCACTTGCCTTGCATGCATGAGGCCCTGGGTTCGATTCCTCAGCACCACATAAGAAAAAAGAAAAAAGCCAGAAGTGGCGCTGTGGCTCAAGTGGTAGAGCGCGAGCCTTGAGCTGAAGAGCTGAGGGACAGCACCCAGGCCCAGAGTTCAGGCTCCACGACCGGACCCCCCCCAAAAAAAAAAGAATATTACAAAACCAGGCACTGTGGCTCACACCTGTAATCCTAGCTGTAATCAGGAGGCTGAGATATGAGGATCTTGGTTCAAAGCCAACCTAGGTAGGAAAGTCCATGAGACTCTTCAATTAATCACCAGAAAACCGTAAATGGCACTGTGGCTCAAATGGTACAGTGCTTGCTTGGCTTGAGCTGAAGAGCTCAGGGATAGCACCCAGGCCCAGAGTTCAAATCCCACAACTGACATAAAAAATAATGTCACCAATTTGTTTGCTCAGTCTGACTCTGAACCCTGAGCCTCGATCCTCAGATCTCAGCTTTCTGGGTAGTGACTCATTTCCTTAGAAGTTTAGATCCTCAAGGTTAGGGAAACACTGAATGTTGAGAAGAATCAATGGTTCTCAGTGTTCGGTGGTTTAGAATGATTGATAATAATACAGACCCCTTTCCTGAAGAACCTACATGGAGCACACACACTCAGAGGCAGTTCTGCTCTTAATTTCAGGCATGTCATGGAGTCAGGGACCCAGGATCCCCCGGCACCCTGGGTTCAGGAGCTTTGGTTAGATGTCTGTGAGGTCCAGAGACTCCATGGAGGAGGAGGTGTGGGGTGAATCAGAGGCGGCTCCCTGGTGCACATGCGCCCCACTCACATTTAACAGTCAGAAGGGGCTGGCTGAAGGCTGTCGAGCAGCCCTTGACTACACAGCTGTAGGTTTCCCAGGGCCTCCGGCCTTTCATTTACTCCCGGGTTAGGGCCAGCCCCAGAGAGGGTGGTGCCCCTGTCCCTTCACCTCACGCGCTCCTGTCCCCTTCACCGAACTAAGACAAGACAGAGAGGTGGCAGGACAACTCGAGAGACAGCTTGAATGTGAGGCAGCAGAACTAGCCCTCGCCCTTCAGCGGTGTGACCTTGGAGTCAATTACTCACCTCTCTGAGTCTTTTCTAATATTGAAACAGGTATTATAATAATACTGTTAACCCTGCAGATTATTAGGAGGGTAAAGAGATCCTGATTATAAAGCACTTAGCACACACCTGATATTTAGTGTCAAGTAATAATGGCTGTGGTTAGAATGGCTCACGGCGGGGAGGAGTTAGTTGGATTCTAGACAGGCCCTTCACAATCCTGATCTAAGAATGAGCACCATCTTCCTCCCCAGAGCCATCTCCAACAGCCAGCAGGGGGCGCTAACAACGCAGCCAGTGGCCAGGGAATGGGCAGCTAGTGGAGAGTGGTCTCCATTTAGTGGGAGGCCCAGGGGGAGGCTCTAGGTGGTCCTGGGATGCCAGATGAGCTGAGCATCTTCCCCATTAGGCTGCATCTGAGCCTCAGATGCACAGGGGAGTGTTCCCTGCCCTGGCCAGTTAGGCAGGTGAGGTTGCTGGGAGTCTCACTTTGTAGATAAAGCGATTGCATATCTGAGCAGTTATGCGGTTCGTTGTTAAGGAGAATTCAGGCTCTTTGAGACGGCCACAAAGGCTACCCATGGGTGTGTGTGTGTGTGTGTGCATGATTCTCTTTTTAGATTGTCATTCTATGCAGCCCTGGTTGGCCCTGGACTCTAGCTCTTCCAGTCTCAGCCTATCCAGGGCTGGGACTACAGGCATGCACCACCACTTCATTCAGCTCAGTTGGCATCTTTCTCTTCATCTGACTCCCCCTAGGCTCAGGGTGCCTGCTCCTTTCCCTGTCCCTGCCCTTGTCTGTTTCTGCTTGAGCGGGAACCCGGAGCCCAGCCTGTCCTTCAAGGATTTCCTTCTCTCTGTACCCTAACTCCACACCTAGGCAAGCCAGTATGGAGAAGCCAGGATGCAGAGCATTGGGCTCCATGGTGGGCGCTCTGAAGATCTGGCCTCATCAGCTACTGCGCAGCCGTGGCCTGGTCCGGTCAGCTAACTCCTGCACAAAGGGTCTCCGGTGCCTTCATTATCGCGAGGTTTGCTTGCACAGTCGGTGTGGCATGGGGCTCCTTGCCAGGCCTGGCTGCCCATCATAGTGGAAGCCACGCTTACTCCTTGGTTCCTGGCTCCACTCTGAGGGGAAGTGCTTCATGGTATTTTTTTTCTTCTTTCATACAAGGAAACTGAGCACAGAGATGTTCAAAAAATGAGCCCAAACCTACGCGCCACTGGAGAGCGGAAGAGCCCTGAGTCCATCCCACACAGGCTGGCTCCCACTGCACTCAGTCCTATCAAAGGAGCATTTATTGAGCACCTATTGTATGCCAGCACATCACATAAGTGATTCCAATCAGTCCTCATGAAAACATCATTGAATACGACAAGGGATTGTTATGCCCCATTTGATGGAGGAGAAAAACCAATGTCAGGGGCTGGGAAGGTGGCCTAGTGGTAGAGTGCTTGCCTAGCATACATGAAGCCCCGGGTTCAATTCCTCAGCACCGCATACACAGAAAATGCTGGAAGTGGCACTGTGGCTCAAGTGGTAGGTGCTAGCTTGAGCAAAAGAAGCTCAGGGCCAGTGCCCAGGCCC